GATATTTTAATCCTGAAAAGAGCTTGTTCTAAAGAGTGTTAAGAGAAATTGTGGGAGGAAGATACCCCACGTAATTAATTAATTTAAAAAAAAAACGAGGTAGACTGCTTGGTGCTCTATCCTCCTGCTTGGTGCAACGGTTAAAGTAGAGGAAATTGCTGGGTGCAATCCTCAGTTTAAAAAAAAAAGAGAGGAACTGGATTTTCCACTCTCAGAAAAGCTCTATAAAGGATTTCCTGCCCCTGAAAACATTTTCTGGAGTATCTTAGAAATGGATAAAAATCAGACACAAACAACTGGATCAGATTTTGCGAATAAATTTTTTACGCCTGAAGAAGGTCGTCATTGGAATAACTTATTATTTCGATTACGGAGCTTTGAAGAGGCTGTATGCAAAAATTTCCGTAAAATCGAGTCAAAAATTACTGAAGGACAAAATTTGCCATCAAATTCGTCCTCATCTGAAATTGATGAAATAAATGCTTTAATAGATGGAAAATTTGAAAAATTAGAAAATCAATTTAAAAATTTGAAACAAATTGTAAAAGAAGAAATATCAAATTTAGGAGTTGATAATGATTTAAACAAAACAAAAATGAAAGAAATTGAAAATAAAATGGATGATAGAGAATTAAAAGATGAATTAGTCTTTTTGCGCTCTAAAAATATGGAAATAGAAAAAGAACAAATTTCACAAATCCAACGCCTAGACATTCTAGAGGAAGGGATGGAAAAGGTTGAGGATAATTTAACTAAAAGTGAGCAAAAAATAGCAGAAATTATTACTAAAAATGCGCGTAAATTAATTGATAAAATTGAAAGTCTTGAGGCAAAAGTAGAAGTCTTAGAAAATGGATCGCGAGGATCCGGATTTTCTTGGAATGGTCATGGAAGTGAAGAATCAGTTGACCTAAATCTCAAGACTAAACCTCCTGAAAAAGCGTCGGAAGCTGCTGAGAAATCCATTACTGGAGAAAATGTTGAAATTATGATCGGAGACCCATTCTTAAACGGTCTAATGACCCCTGTCGGAGTCTATGATGGAAACCCGACTAGCTCATTCTCGAAATTTTTCCAGCGATTTATGGATGCTCTAAATTTAATAATTACCCCTCTAAATGAAGCACAAAAGCTTAGTCGTCTAAAAGTGTGCCTGGGAGGTCGCGCTCGTGCTGAACTTGATGCTAAATTCCCACAACCAGCTACTCTGCAAGAAGCTATAGATTTCTTGCAAGAAAAATTCGTAAATGGACATTCTCGTACAGTAGCTCGCCAAGCCTTATCTATTATTAAACAAGCACCTGGCGAAAGAGTTTTTGAATTTGCGCAGCGTTTAAATGACGCAGTACGTGCTGTAATGATTGGATATGAAGAAAATACGATACAACAGCGATTGCTAGATGAATTTTTGGATCGGCTTATGCCAGACCTTCAATTCGAAGTTAAAGCTGCTAGACCTGATGACTATTCAAAGGCATTCGAAGTTGCCGAACATTTCGAATTACTATTGAACGAAAAACGCCAAAAACATCAATATGTAGATTTAGCAGAAAAAGTGGAAGCCCTAGCAATTAATCGGTCTAGAGAAATAAGACGCTTATGCTATTACTGCCATAAACCTGGACATGTAATAGCGGATTGCCGAAATAGATCAAGAAAAAATTATAAATCCCGCCAATATAATAATTATGAGCGAAGAAATTATCAAAATAATTATTGGGAAAATAGACAAAATTATAGAAATGAATATAATAGAGATAACAGCAGATATAATGATAGAAATCGCGAAAATTCTAGAGAAAGTTCACCAAATAATTATAGCCGCTCGCCCACTAGAAGAGTGAGATTCAGCGAAAGCCGAGTTGCAAGTCCATTAAGAATATCTAGCCCTTATTTGCTAACAATTTTTGCACTTATTGCTATTATAAGTCCCACTTTGGCTAGCTATGGAGCACAAATTGAAATGAATTGTCCCGCATACTCACCCTTTACCTTTAAAGAGAAAACAATAAACAACAATTGGGAAATAACAGAATTACCTAAAGAGAGCATATTAAGCACAAATTATATGAGATTGCTTACATTAAATCAGATTTTGATATTTCTAGCTCTTCTAGGTGTTAGTACTGTACTATTTTTACTAATGTTTTTCATAAAACCAATTTTATTTAAAATAATTAAAAACCTGCGAAAAAATAAAAAGTCTGAGCCAGAGAAAGAAATTAATGTTGCAGAAATCGCACCTGGTTATGACAATACATGCGATGAATGGTTTAGAATAAAAACAAAAATAAATGGAAAAGAAATAATTTGCCTATTAGATTCAGGAGCACACGTATCCCTGACTGGAAGAGAAACCGCAGAAAAATTAAAAATAAAGGAAATCTTTCCCGCTGATTTAAGCGCCATAGTTGGTATAGGAAATAAAATTGTACCCACGCTTGGCCAAGGAGAAATAATTTTTCAAATAGCAGGTTGTGAAATTTTAACGCAGATTGTAATATTAGAAAATGAAATTAGTAAAACAGGAAAATATGATGTAATTATTGGAAGAGAAACCCTGAAAAGCCTTCCATTATTCCTAGATTTACAAACAGGTAAATTAATCGCGAAATCGTTAATTAAAAATTGTCAAATAAAGGAAATGGAGAAAATACAATTAAAATTAATAGAAAATAATAAATTTAAAAATATTCGCGATATTAAAAATATTTCCCAAATAAAAAATGACTTGAGCACACATACTAACTTAACAAAACCAAGTCCAAAACAAACTTATCAGGAAAATACCCAATTATATAAAAAAGCAAGAAAAAAGTGGGTTGAGGACAAATATGAGATAAGACCCCCTAATTTTAAAATGGGAGAATCGGCAAAGACAGCAGGACCTTCGAAAAAAGACTACATCGATCATCAAAAGATAAGACTCCCAATGTCAAAACAACAGACAGGACGAGCAAAAACAAACAAGGAAGGAAACCAGAAAGTGAATGGACAAATGCCGCAGTGTAAAAAGATAAGAAATCGTGTCCATCCTTAATTTAAAGATGAACATAAAAAAAAACAACTAAAATTTTCCCTACCCCAATTTCCTTATAAAATAATCACTTAAATCCCCTTAAATAATTTCACCTATAATTTTTTTTCAGTCTGTAATCAAATTTAAAAATTTTTCTATACCCCTTTAAAATTCTTGTCGGAGAAAAGTATGTCAAAAAAAAATTCAATCCCATAATTGGAGAAGTATAAAAATAAATTAAAAAAAAATACAAGAGGAGAACTTAAAAAAAAATCCCTCGATTTAAAGAAGCTAAAGTAGAACCTTAAAATGGCTTCTAAAATAAAATTTTTTGTTTTAAAGAATGCAATTTGTAGCAAATAAACAAATTAAAAAATAGATAAAATATAATCTCCTCCGTTTAATTTAATAAGCATGACGTGGACGTCATCTTAATTAAGGGGGAAGGAATGCTGCATTCGCATAAACAAATAAACAAATTAAAAAATAGCTTTTCTCAAAAATATAAATAATGATAAGAATTGACCTGCCATCTCAATTAAAGAGATTCCCGACTTTCCCAATCTAATATTTATTACCGACCAATCTTTATCTCTTAATATTCACATTTTGTATTAATATTTATTAACCCATTTCTCGACCTGTCCATCCCAATAACAATATTTGTTTGCCTAAATTTCCACTATATATATCCGCCACATTTTCACCTACTTCGTCTTATATTGAACTTTACCTTTTAACTTTTAACTCTTTAATTTATAATATTATAACCCCTTGAATAAAAATATATTTAATCTTCATTTGACCAAGGCTTAGAACCGAGGGTAATTAGAGTGAACTTACAAACAGTTCATTATCCTCAAGTTGTTCTATAAGTTCATGTAACGTCATAATTCCACTAAAAGGTGGCGGATCTCCAGGATAAAGAAAATATCCTTCTTCCATTTAATTAGAAAAATATTTGTCTTAAAATTAGAAAGATTTATTAGAAAATTGAAATACCAAACTCAAATCTCTTCAAATTGAGACGCGCCACATTTCGTTCTACCCTGACTAGTCTAAAAAATTTTTGTGACGTTTGTGCTTCTGATTTCTGTCTGAATTTGTGACCGGTAAGATCGTATTTGCGGGATCCCACATGCGGGATTTTTTTAAATCTTTGCGGGACGGGATCCCGCGGGGCAAATCTCGCACTCCCGCTAATCGAAAAAACCGCGGGATTGTGGGGCGGGATCCCTCGCGCCGGTCACTAGTCTGAATTAGAGATCGGCACGGGAGGGACCCCGGGCGGGATTTCACGGGATCCCGTCCCGAAATCCCGGGTTTTTAGCGACGAGCGGGATTACCGGGATTAATCCCGCGGGATCCCTCCCGTTAGATCTTTTGAAACTCAATCCCGTTACGGGATCCCGGAAATGCTATTTTGCCGATCTTTAGTCTGAATCGACCTGTATTGGCCTATTATGAATTGGCCATTCTGAACCGGCTCCCCTTATCATATTTCTCAATAATCAAACTTTAAAATTTTTCAAATATTTTCTAAAATGCGATTTTGCTCAAGTAAATTACTTGTTCTGCCTCACGAAATAAAAGCTTTAACTACTTTTATTCGAACAAATACAACAACATCTACACATTTTGGATTTGAAAAAATTAAAGAAGAAGAGAAACAACAAAGAGGTTTTCTTTGGTTTTTTAAGGGTGCAGCCCAAAACGGCGCGAGGCCCTAACGGCGCAAAGCCATAACTTGCTGAAACATATCTGGCTCTTGTCAATTTTGGTACCAATCTCTTTAGCTCGATGGGAGGACTCGTTTGATACTAAATTTGATGAAATTCGGAAATTTGAAGCAAGTTATGGCCTCGCGCCGTTATGGCCTCGCGCCGATTTGGGCGTGTCCTGTTTTTTAATAAATTTAATTCCCCCTCTAATTTTTACAGTCAAAACAGTTTTCTCAAATGTTGCAAAGAAATATGATTTAATGAATGATGCAATGAGTTTATTTATTCATCGATTGTGGAAAGATTATTATGTCCAGAATTTGCCGTTAAATAAAAATTGTAAAGTTGTGGATGTGGCGGGAGGTACTGGGGATATTGCTTTTCGAATTGCTGAAAGGATGGGGGCAAATGGGAATGGCGCTGTTACTATTGTGGATATTAATGAGGTTTGTATTGATTTTGTATTAGACAGTTTGGGGACGTTTAAGTCATCTTTGGTTTAGTGGGTTAGTTTTAAGTTTACCAGTGGATAGGTGGGGGTTCGAGTCCGACTGAAGGGGAAATATTTTTTATTTGGTTTCTAATAAAAATAAAAACAAATTAGACCATTTGGAGTGTCTTGATTTTTTATATTTAACAGTTAAAGGGCGTTTAAGTCATCTTTGGTTAAGTGGGTTAGATCTAAGTTTAGCAACGGATAGGGGAGGGGTTCGAGTCCGACTGAAGGCATATTTTTTATTTGGTTCCTAATGAAAATAAAAACAAATTAGACCATTTGGAGTGTCGGATCATATTTTTTTGAGTTACCAAACTTAATTTTTACTCTATTTTAGAATATGTTAGAAGTAGGAAAGCTTCGAGTACCTCCAAATTATGCTAGCCATTTAAATTGGGTTACAGCTAATGCAGAATCTCTTCCTTTTGAGGACAATTCTTTTGATATTTACACAATAGCTTTTGGAATAAGAAATTGTACACATCCAGAGAAAGTTTTGAATGAAGCTTTTCGAGTGTTAAAACCTAGAGGTTTTTTTTTAATTTTTTGTTTAAGAAATGGGTAATAGTGTCGTTTCCCAGCCCCATTTTTTCCTCCCAATTTTCTACCCTATGTTTTTACGGAATGGTCAAATTTTCCCCTTTCTTTCATCAAATTTGCCTTTCCATATTTTGCCTAAAAACAATCAAAAAGATTAATTTTTGATATTTAAAAAAGTATTAGAGTAATGAGAAGAATCATTTTCCCAATTAATAAAAATGGAAGAACTAAAGAATTTCAAACCTATTGATTTATATGAAAAATTACGTTTGAGTGATAATGATTTCGATGCATGGCTTGAGAAGCTTGGACTTCTTCATGGAAAGAGAACTTGCTACAAATGTGGGGGTCGAACAACAATAAGTGTTAAGAAAGACGAAAGATATGGATGTTGGCGGTGTACAACCAAAAATTGTAGAGCAAGACAAGGTTCTTTTTTTAAGTTTTTTTAAAAAAATCTTCTCTCTCATTACTCTAATACTTATTTAAATATCACAAATTAATCTTTTTTGATTGTTTTTAGGCAAAATATGGAAAGGCAAATTTGATGAAAGAAAGGGGAAAATTTGACCATTCCGTACAAACATAGGGTAGAAAATTGGGAGGAAAAAATGGGGCTGGGAAACGACACTATTACCAAGAAATGATTTTTAATTTTTAAGGGATGTTCTCTTGTTTGGAATTTGGAAAAGTCAACAATCCTGTTATTCAGAATATTTATGGTTAATTTCTAATTTATTTTTTAAAAATCATTGAAATCCTAGTTAATTAAAAAATTTTATTTTCCCCTATTTCCTTGATTTTTACTGACTCTTATTCTTGCCTATAAGTAGAGGTTGGGATGGTTTTGGATTTTTAAGTTATTTTTAATGGGAGCTACTCCAAAATTTGGTTCAGTCTTCACCTCTTTCCACTATCAATTAAGAATTTAATTTTCACAAGAACTAAATACCCCTTTAGTTATTGTGAAAAATTGTACCATACATATAATGATTCTGACCCTATCCGAAAGGAATGCCGGCATCCAATTTTTTCTTTCCTCCTCGAATGAAAAAAAGCCGAAAAATTAACCTTTTCTTTCTCATTCGAGGAGGAAAGGAAAAATTGGATGCCGGCATTCCTTTTGGATAGGGCCATGATTCTCGTACATCGTGAATATTCTTGGTCAGCTATCCTTGTCTATTGGCTAACAAAATTAAAAAAATATTTTAAATTGAAGTTTTTTCTAACATTGGGTTATCTAAAAATTCGAGGTCGATTTTATCTAAATTTTTGTTTTCGATATTCCTACGGAGAATAAATAAAAAACATAAAATTTTTATTTTTTCTTTTTTCAGATCTTTACAGTTTTCAACTAATCCCAGTCATTGGACAACTTTTAGTTGGTGATTTTAATAGTTACAAATATTTGGTTGAAAGTATTCGTGTCTTTCCTGATCAACAAAAATTCTCAAAAATGGTTAAAGAAGCAGGTTTTAATAATGTTACTTTTGAAGAATTAAATTTTGGAATTTGTAATATTTATTGTGGAAGTAAATAAATTTTTTTAGAAAATTTATTTTTTATTTTTTTGCTTAATTCGTTGTTAAAGACTGACAAATTATTATTTTTAAAATTTTTTTTATGAATTTAATATTTTTTGGCTCGCTTTAAATTCGGCCCAAGACCGTTTTGCAAGAAAACGAATAGGAAGTTTGGGGTCCTCTATCGAATAATATCAAAAATATCGAATTTGCATGACAATACTAAAAGAGGATTAATTGACAGTCATTTTTTATAAGAAACCCACATTTTTTTTGAAATTTTCCCTGTTGCCCGAAAAACATTAACTTTAATATTCCAAGTTTATGTGAGCATGTCAAGGGTCTTGAACTTTTTCCCTTGGACTTTTTTTTCGACACGAACCCCAACCTAACTTTTCAACCCATGATATCTCTAGTTTATATTTTCTGTTTAGATAATTTTAAATATTTTAACCTATTTTAATGGTCAAAAAGATGTGTAAAGCTTTAGGTATGTTAAATGTACTTGCTTCTCGTGCTTTTACAACATCTAATATTCGGGCTTTGAGGTTGTTTTTTAATTTTAAATTTTCTTTTAATTTTTTGAAGATTCGGCTCGCAAAGAACTCAGCAATCAGATATTTTTCAAGTTGGAGCTTTTTTGCCTGAAAATAGTAAAAGTCAAATTTATCAAAAAGGGCAGTTATTTGTTCATAAAATTTTTGCTTATAGGTTTGTTGAGTTTTTAAATTTAGTTTTGCTTATAAAATTGAGGGAGAATTTTGTGAAATTTATTTCCAATCTTTTTTTAGCTAGGGATCTGGTAAGGAACCTTTCTTTACTGTGGCCTTAACTTGTTTTTTAAATTTTTGCAAAAAAAACGGATAGCACTTTGCAATAGTAAGTCGGGGGTCCTCTATCGAATGGTATCAAAGAAATAACGAATTCGTGGTCACAATAAAAAATGGTTCCTTGAGAGAGGTACCACAATATTCGCTTTTGCCATCGTCAATTTTTGGTGATGGTTTACTGAAAAAGCTTGGAGATGGCAAGCCAATTCACATGTATGGGAAATAGGGCTGGACGCAATTGCGTATTATGTAAAATTTAATGGTTTTGACTTGCAGCTGCGAAAATTTTTTTGGCTGCGTTCAGCCCTGATTAAAGCAACTTTTCCCGAAAATTACTTGTTGGCGTCAGAATTCTGGCAATAAATAATAGCGGATATTAGAACACCTTTTGTATTCAGACAATGACCCATTTACTTAATACATCTTAAATTTTGATATCTTTCCTTGAATTTTTGAATGAATTTTTAAATTTTCTTCCACAATCTAAACAAAATTTTCCTCAATTTTCTTATATTTTTATTATTTTTTAATCGAAAATTAAAATATTTTTTTAGAGGAATTATCGTCAAGTCTACAAATTGTGTTATTTATTCTAGAAGAAGGTTTATTTATTTTAATTTTCTAAATAAATTTTTTGTTTAAGTGTGAATACACCACTTGAAGAATCCTTTTATTATCAAGTTCTTATTGATAGTGACGATTGGAACGAAATGGTTTTTTAAATTTATTTTAAGTTTTTGGGATCTAATGTCATCTTTTGGGGTTTTCTAATCTTTTTTGAGAGGGTTTTGGACTCTGTCCGTAAGATGAGCTAAATTTTACTACAAACTGATTATAGTTAAAAGAGGTTAGTAAATAGAATAAATTTTTTGAAGACTTGCGGACAAAATTTGCGGAATTTTTGGAGCATAATGTAAAGAACAAAGGGTTTTTTTCTAAAAAGTTTGATTAAATCACCTAGGTATCCTGTTCTTTATTTTGTATTTTTCTGAAATAAAACCGAGCTTTCGACTAGAAAATCGCCTTTTCTTTCCTCTAACAAGAGAACATTCCGAACTGTATGTGAAAATTTTGTATTTTTTCTGTACCATCGTGTAGAGCAGGGCCGAAAACCTTTTTTGGCCTTTTGGCCCTGACCCCCATTTCGAAAAGTTATAGGGGTTAAAAGTTAGACCGCTTGAGTATACTTGTACAACTTATGTATTAAAGAGAAAAATGATACGATGGTCTTCACGATGGTGCAAAAAAAAATACAAAATTTTCACATAAAGTTTGGAAGTTCCCTTGCAAACTCAGTAGTTTTCTTTCAGCATTTTCCCTATAATTTGACTACATGCCTCAATTCTATTGGAAATATGGAACAAAAAAATAAAACAGAATATAACGGAATGGATATAGTTGCACATGATGAAATTCGGCCATATCAAAATTTACAAAATTTGGCTGATGAAACGCCACCGATTAAAAATGAACATATTTATCAATGCTTTCCTACGCCAAATTTGTTGGAGGAAGGTTTGGAATTGGGAAGCCTTGGTATGGTTCGATACGCCTCGACGAGCTGAATCCAACCATACCAAGTTATCTTAGATTCTCGACAATTTTAAACGAAGTTATAGCCTCGGCGGTAGGTTGGGGTGTACCCTAAAAAAGTGATGTTTTGTATAAGTAAGAATAACTTTGAAGCCCTATAACTTTTAGAAATAGGAGTCAGGGCAAGAAAAGCCTGGCACCAAAATAGGTTTTCGACCACGCTCTACACGATGGTGTGTAGAGCGTGGTCGTAAACGTAACAAAATTTTTGGTGATAATTCGCGGTGTTCCCTTGTTATAGTTATAAATGAAAAAGCAACAGCAGACTTTTTTTCGTTTCTAGAGCCGTAGCCAACGTTTTTTTTCCTAATTTTCTACACTCTTACCTCTCCAGATTTTGATTCTAATTTGAAACCCTTTTAATCTTCTTTTTTAAGTTTTAGGTTTTGAAACGGAAACATTTCAACAAGGATTGGAATTTAATCAATTGTTAGTTTAATTTTAAGAATATTTTTTTAAATTAAAATTTTATTTTTTAGACTTCCCCAAGCTGTCTACAAACATTTGACAGATTTAAATGAAGTACAAGTTATTCCTTTTTATTTGGGAATTAATGGAAGGGATGGACAAAATTTTCATCTTTGGCGTTGTCTTTTTCGAATAAGAAATTTGGGGAAGAAAGTGGTTAAACTTCAAGATATAAAATTGGATACGTCTACTTTAGATGGTTATTATACAAGTTTGGAAGAAAGTTTAACTGAAAATTTGGTTTGTTTGAAATTTTTTTATATAGTCTTTGCGAAGGTTCGAAAACCTAACCAAAGAACTTATGTGAGGATTTTTTGGTTAGGTTAACAATAAGTTTAAATCTTTTGACTATGACAGGTTCCCTATTTACGAATAATTTCAAATCCACTTGATTCAAGGCACTATTCCCTATTTTCTGTGGATATTTCATAGTCAGCCTTTTGAGCAGAAACTCAGTTTTTTGGGATCATTTAAAATTATTTTTGGAGGGTTCTTCTGATTTTTTAAAATTTAAAAATTTTTTATAATTATTACTTCTTTCATAATTGTCAAATCCGGGATGTTCTGGTATGGCTGAATCGAACCATACCTGACCGTCCATGATTCGACCATTTTGAATGAAGTTATATCTCTGCGATACGTTGGCCTCGCAGTACGTTGGGGGTGTACCTCAGTTTCTTCCATAAATTTACTTTAGACTCTAACAATAATTTGAAATTTATTTTCTTTTTTTTTCAGGCAAAAAAATTAACTCCAACAAAGTCAGTTACCCAATTTGCCCTTCATTTTGAAATGCCAATAAGATGTGTAAAAGGAAATACTTTATGTGGTTATTTTATAGCTGAAGATGATCAAAAAAGAAAAATTAAATTAATTATTCCCTTAACGCCATTAGACTCAAATCAAATTTATAGTCAGGAACAAATGGAGACTGTGAGTTTTTTTTAAATAATTTAAAAAAGGGAAGGCAATTATGAAATGTTTTGGGGGTTTTTTAATATTTTTGGAGGTTTTTTTTTCTGATTTTTTAAATTTAAAAAGTCTTATGATGTTTTGAATTTTTATAAAAATAATTTTGAATTATAGTAAGAGAGAAGTCAATTTTAGCCTGGACGGCCTCCAATCCTAACCAAAATCCTAACCTCCAATTTTAACCAAATTGCAAAATATTTGGAGTTTTTTCAATTAAATCTAAAATTTTCAAAATTGCCAAAAAAATATTAGAATATTAAATTTTATAATTTTTAAAAATTTTTTAAGGTTTGAATATCTGTCGTTATATGCCTACATGATGATTATTTTTTTGAATTTTTTAATAAATGTATTTTTATTTGATAAAATTTTAAAATAAAATTTTTAATTGATTTAAAAAATTTTTTTATATTTTCTAAAATATTTTTTTGATTTTCATTATTTTTTAATAAAATTTAAAAAAAATTTTAGTTTTTAAATGTCAGAAATTAATCAATTAATTCAAACAGCTCGTTTAAATTTTGTTGACAGTCAATTTAGTAATTGGTTAAATGTTAATAAATATTTTAATTTACTTAAGGTTTGTTTTAATTTTGAAAGTTTTCCTAAGTTTATTTCTTGTTTGATTGAAGCATTTTTCCTGTTTAGATTTGACCTTTCAATATTTTTTTTAAATTATCCAACAACCAAAAAAATTTCATTTTATGGCATTCGGTTTTGGATCCGTAGTAGAGCCCGGCAAAATCGGTTTTGCCGGATTCGGATTTTCAACTTGAACCGGACCGGATTTTTCCGGTCCGGGAAAAATCCGGAAATCGCAAAAACCCCGGATTTGGGACCCGGACTTTGGAAAAATCTGGCCGGATCCGGTCCGGCGCCGGGCACTATCCATTTAAAAATTCTCGGACCTCGAATGGCTGCCTGAAATCACCGTTTTAATTACCCTCAAATTTTTAAAATTACATTTTTAGAATGCAGACTTGTCACTAACCGAAGATGTTTATCGTGCTTATGCAGCAATAATTGATGCTTTATTGTTACACCATTTGGACGAATCTTGTCAAAAAAATTTTCTCAATACAAAAAAGATTGCTAATTTAATATTACAGTCAGTTTTTTTTTGGAAAAATTCTGTCATATCTACCAGAAACCGATTCGGACAATTTATATGTCATTCGAAAGAGCTCCTCGAACTGAGTCGTTGACACCAAAATCAACGAAATTGAGCTTACCCCCCCCCCCTTATGGTTTTTAAGTTTCGGGGACCTATATCTCGGCCCATAGAAGAGTCACGAAGCTAATTTTGGTGTCATTCGACTCAGTTCGAGAAGCTCTTTCGAATGAGCTATCTTTTGTTCGAATCGGTTTCTGGTAGATTTAATTTTTCGAAATTTTCCAAAAATTTTTAGAAATTTTTTTTTAATTTTTAGGTTGGACACAATAATTCAAAAATCAACAAATATTGAAAATAAGAATTCAAAAAAATTTAAATTACTGGATTATCTGGCCAAATGCATTATTTATATGAGAACGGGTGATTTTATTAATGCTTGTGTGTTGGCTGATAAATCGGTTAATTTAAATAATTTTTTATAAAACTTTTTGGGAGGTTATTCAAAAATTCAAAAATTCTGCTAAATTTTATCGTTTTTTAGTAGAGGGGGTGAATTAAGAATCCTGTCATAAATTTACGATTTTGGGGAATCGGAATTTCCGACCAGACAACTTTGGGAATTTTTTAATTTTTGAAATTCGGGATAGCAGGATTCCTAGTTTGGATTATTAGGGAGCAGGCCAACTTACCGCAGACCTATAACTTTATTCATACTTGTCGAAGCCGGGACGCCCTGGTATGGTTCGATGCGCCTCAACAAGCTGTATCGAACCATAGTCATCCCGGATTTGACGATTTTGAACAAAGTTATAGCTCTGCGGTAAGTTGTGGTGTACTTGGAATATTAAACCTCACTAAATTTTATTTTTTTTTTCTTAAATGTTAAAGATTTGAGGAAAATTACTTGAGAGATTAAAAAATAATTTTTTGATAAAAAATTAAAAAATATTTTCTCTAAAATTCTAAAATTATTTTTTTTTTCAATTTTTAGCCAATTTCTTCAAAAAAACAAAAACAATTAATTCTGGCCATTTATTCCTACAGTCTAGCTTGTGAATATGCATTTAAGGGACTTGAATTGGGTGATGATGTTGACCAAAATTTAAATGCAGTTTTGTCTCTCTATACACTCGAATTGGTTGTTTTAATTAGAAAAAATTGTGTTGATGAAAATTCTTTGCTTTTTTGTAATAATTTTATGGTTTGTTTTTTGTTTTTAAATTTATTTTAGAGGGGGGAGCATTTAAGTTGGATTACATTTTGATGTTTTGTCATTATTAGAGGGTTAATTTTTAAGTTTTCAATTTCGGATTGGGATTTTTTGTCATTATCTTCCTCCAATATTTTACAAATTTTCCAAAGGTCTGGATCTTTAAAGTGGAACTTTTAAATTTTCTTCTTTAATTTAAATGGAGGAAGGACGAGGAAGAATTTGTTTAAGACGGGGAAACAAGGTAAAAAGAGGAAAATAGGGATATGCGGGTGGAACTCTGCTTCTTTCTATATGGAAAGATATTAATCAGGGATGACAGGGTCAGAAAAAATGTCGGGTATGTTTCGAGTCGGGGTTTCAAAATTTTAGGTCTAGGTTTCAGGTCAAAAATAGATTTATTCCCAGGAAAAAGCTAAAGGATTTTGCTAATTCCTGAGGATGAGTTGCTTGGTGAAAAAAATTTTTTTAATTTTCAGTTGGGATCATTTGTCTTCAATTATACCCAAACATTTATAAATTTACCTAAAGGAAATAGAGAAAATGAATCTTTTATTTTTTGTGATCAAACAACAATTTTGAGGCGTTCAAATGAATATTTTGAGGGAGAAGCTTGTTTAAAAAGAGCATTTTTGTTGAGCGAAAATATTTATTTTTTGAGAAGATTTGTTTGGTTACTTGAAGAATTTGATGAATTTAAAGAGGGAATTTGTAAGGAGTTTTTTTAATAATTAGGGAGGTGTTTGAACGGTTATTTTGAATAAAATTAAGTTTTCGGTGGGATTAGGATCATCATCAAGGTGGCCTCTTCCAAATCACCATGGCTTCCCAAAAAGAGGCGAGAAGGTCAAAAAGGGGGCAAATGCCACCCAAATCAGGCAAAAAGGCCACCCCGGTCCTCTTCCATTTTTTCACTAATCTATGGTCTACCTTTAAGACATTGAGGAAATTTTGAAAACCAGACATGAAAACTGACATTTTCCTTCTTCCACGTAGAATCCTTTCTAAAATGATTAGGGTGATTATTTTCAGAAAATACTTATTTTAAAATGATTATTTTCTAAAATGAATTTTCGAGCCTCATTTTTATCGAGTTGGGCCGTACGAGTCCGAGTCTTTTTCGGGCCAAATATCTTAGACCCGACTCGATCTTTCGGTCCGAGTCGGTCCATTTTGGCAACCTTAAAAATGATTATCAAACGTTTGCAGATTATTTCGATTTTTAAAAAATAAAAATACAAAACCATCCCTCCTGTCGTCAAATATTTTCGAATTTCGAACTTTAATTTTTTTAAATTTCCTCAAACTCATTCTGACTTGTTTAAAATTTTTTTGTTTTTTATAATTTTTAAAATAATTTTTAAAAATTTTATTTCTAGATCCATTTATTGACGATTTATTCAATTCTATACCCGAATTTCCTCAAGATGCTTTTAATGCTTGTTCGCCTGAAAGTATTTCTAGAGCTGATATTAAGGTCTTTTTGAAGGGGAATTCTAAAAAATTTTCAAATTTTTTTTCAGATTTTTTTATTTCGTCTTTCCCAACATTTAAAATGCGAATTTAATATAGAATTTACACTTCCCTGGATATTTTACAAAAAATGTAATTTAAATCATCAACAATTTTGGAGTTTTGTTAAATGTGTAAATAATGAGGGGATAGCCAAGTAATTAAATTTTAAATTAAATTAAATTTTTTGTGGGAAAATTTTAATAAAAATCCGCAAATGTAAAAAGGAAATTAGGTAAGTTTATTTTTATTGTGGAAAAATGTCTCCTAATTTTTAAAATTCTGGTCTGATGATTTTATTTGGATTTTATTTTTATTCTGATTTTTTTAAATTGAGAATTCTGATATTTTTGTTTTCTGATTTCGAAATTCTGTTTTTTCTGAAATCAGAATTCTGGTTTTCTAAAAATAGAGATTCTGATTTTTTAAATTCTGATTTCCTTTTAATTTGAAAATCCTGATTTTCTGGATTTGAATTCAGGTTTTTTAAAACCAGAATTCTGATTTTTTCGTTCTGAAATTGGAAATTCTGATTTTCCGCATTCAGAATTCTGGTTTTCTAAAAATAGATATTCTGATTTTTCAAATTCTGATTTTCTTTTGATTTGAAAGTTCTGATTTTTCGGATTATGAATTCTGATTTCTACAAACTTGAAAATTCTGATTTTTTTTAAATCAGAATTCTGATTTTTTTGTTCTGATATTAGGAATTCTGATTTTCAAATTTTGATTTTCCGCATTCAGAATTCTGATTTTTCTGAACTAAAAATTCTGATTTGTTTAGATTACAAAATTTTGATTTTTATTTTTTTTCTGGAATTTCTGACTTTTTCTAATTATCTCTTAAACTTCCTTAGTTTTTAATTTTTTTCAGCATAAACTTGAGTATTTTAATTCAAATAACAACAGCATTAGAACAAATAAGAGATCCAAATATTGAACAAATATTTTCTGATGATTTAATAAATACAATAAATTTTATAAAAAAATTGGGAGAAGAAAATAATTTTTTAAAAATAATTTTGGAAAGATATTCAAATTTATTAAAAATGTTTATGCCAGAAAATGATTGGATATTTGTTGTTGATAATGAAAATAATAAAATTGAAGCGAAAGAAAGGGAAGAAGAAGAAGAAGGAAATTTAATTGAGAGAGAAGTTGTTGCTGTTGATAAATTGGAGGAAGAAATTAATAAAATTATTGAAGAAGAAAAAAATTTAAATAAAAAGGTAGAGGGAAAATTTAAATTTTTTTGTTGTTATTGTAGTCAAGGGGCAGGGGGTCATTTCACGGTTCCAAAAATTAATCGGTTCCAGTTGTTAAAATTTTGGTGGTTCCTAGAATTGATTCCAATACTTGTGTCCTTTCTTCTTTATGAGAAAAAAAGCGGAGACAATGGGGCGGGGCTTATGGGGGAAACTACACAAGTACCGGAAGGGCCTTTCACAATTCCAAAAATTAATCGGTTCAGTCTTAAGATACTTTGGTGGTTCTTAGAAATGATTCCTAAGACCGGGAAAGTATTAGGATTTAATTGGGGGTTTTCTAATTATCCAAAACGTTTTCTGTCTTCTAGTATTTAATTCTTGTAGAATTCTAGTCATTGTGTCCCTTCCTCCCTTGTAAGGATTAACCGAAGCTTAACTTTTAGTTGATCGTTCTTTGATATTGGGTCGTTCAATTCTTTTAATTTTTGACGAATTTTGAATTTTTCTAAATTTTGTTTTTAATTTAAAAAAAAAATTTTTTAAGCCAGAAAAGCAATTATTGTCAATATCAACACAAACAGACTACCAACAACCACCCCAACAACAACAAAATATCCAACAACAAATTAATCAACAACAACAACAACTTAATAAACAAATTAAAATCATTCAAGATTGGGGAGAAACTAATTTTAATATAAACAGATGGATATGCCACAATGCTATGCTTTACAAAATATTTAATCGAAGATAAAATAAAATTATCTTTTTAAATTTTGACAATTTTTTTTGGTTTTATTATTTTCATTATTTTATTTTTTCAAAAATATTTTTTTATTTCTTGTCTTTAAAATTAAAAAATGAAATTTTATTGGCTCTGGTGTAGTTTAGTAGTCTCTTCAAAGTTTATGAGTCCATTGAAGGTTTATGGGGGAGTAGTCATGGAACTCAACACCTTCATTGGACTCACACCTTGAATATGTATCTCCGAATACATATTTAAAAACCTTGCTTTATAGGCTTTTTTGCTCAGATTGTGAAGAGATGAGAATATTTATTCTTTGTTCCTAATTTTAAAATTTATTTATAAAAATTTAGTAATAAAGGAATATTTTTCGATATGTTTTTAGTGGCCTAAGGGTGTTCCAGAAGTAAGAAAACGAAATAACTAAAATTTTCATTTCTTCAAAAATAGTATACTAATTAAGATTAAAGGCAAAATGTAATTAAAATTAATGAGTTGAACGAAACCGAGAATTGGAAAATTAATTTAAATAATTTCAATAAGTATTAAATAATATAGCAATCTCAAACTTTTATTCTCAACATTTAGACAAAAAGAAACAAATTGTATCGATACGCGGAAAGTAAATTGTTCTCGCCATACTCTAATTTATCATATCCTGGTATAGTATTAGAAGTCTGGAGAACAAACCAAAGTCAATCCAGCTCCCAGACCACGTCCAAGCCTTATTAAATAGAAATACAAATCCACTGAATCCTTCCTTTGTAATTAAAGATCCAATTGCACCATACACGTAATATATAATCGTTCCCAATGACTTTAGATTTTTGTGTCTTCTGAATTAAAGAAAAATAAATGAAAAGAATATTGGGCTTTAGTTCACGAGCTCAATGAGATTATTTATGAGGGTGTAACTATATAATACTTAGGACCCGAGAATTTGACTAAAAATATACCTATCTATCGTTAAGCAAAGTTCAAATATAAGAACCTTTTCTAGGAGTCGAACTCACAGAAATATAGGACCGGCTAAAGTAAAAAATACCATTCGATGATTCTGAACAAAATTACGACTTATGTGTGCCTATGGTTTATGTGTGCCTACTTATTTATGTGCCTATTGTCCGATAATGGTGAACCTATTGCATGTAGTTTTCTTCTGATAGTTTTCTTCTAGTTTTCCTACTAGTTTTCTTCTGATCACTGGGGAATTGAACTTCTAGGATCACGTTAAAGCTATTCTAACAAAACTATAGTTTTATGTAATTAAAGTTGCAAAAAGATCCTAAAAGGTAGATTGTTAGGGATATATATTTAGTGCCGGCTTAATCATCTCCCCCGTTCATCAAAAACGAGTAATAACACATACGATATTATTTTTGTAATGTTATTGCCATTTTTTTCCAACCATGTATGTGCGCTTATTGCATGAGTATGAGGTTCGATTCGTTGACGGAAGGTCATCACATTAACTTTTTTAAAGTTAGTTTTATTGCATTGTGAAACAGTATCATTAAAGCATATCGGGCCATACAGGAACTCATCCCCCTCTAGCCAATATGGGGTTATTAATACATGAAAATGGAATCTAAAACAAACTTGTAAATTTTATTTGGTACTTTTCCGTTATCCATACTGCCTTGCAGATATATTTTTTACGGAAGAAAAAATGCGAACTGGACATTTTCTATTTATTCTTTTTCCCATGTTATATAACCCCAACAGGGTATAACCTATATATTTCTGTTTGATCATTCCCAACTTGATATTTCAACCAAAATCTAATTGTTGAGGCTTTATCTAATTTACGGGTGATGTAACTTATTTAGAGCTTACCCCGGCAAGCCTCTTTTTAGCAATTCCTTTCCAATTCGTTCCGCGCTTTGGTTGTAATTTATTAATTGTATTTCTTCATCTTTAATTGCCTCAAATGCACGGGTTAGCATAACATTTGGCCAATAAAGATCCTTAAAATTGATTATAAATTTTAAACTTTTTCATGTCACGCTTAAGATAAATGAGTATTCTGACTTTAAATCCCAAGGAGACGGGAGCTTGCCAAACCATGTACATAATAAACTTAGAGGAGATGCGTTAAATAACTCATGAACAGTTGATTTTAGTTTTTTAGGCTCTGGGAGTATTTTTATTTCGAAATCTATAACAAAAAATAGATCGACACCCCCGCAGGATCAAACGCCACGGGAAGTTTTACATCTATATATTAGAAAATATACCAATTTCTTCGTAATCCAACTTTGCATAAAAGTTATAATTATAATTCCATGATTAACGCTGCGCTCTTTATACCTTTCTATACTTTCTGGGTCAATAAATGTAGTATTTGTGCAGATGAGTGCGAGATTTATCTAAAAATATTAAAAATCAAAATTAGTCTGTGTGATTAAATTTAATTTTTTACATACGACTTTACTTATGTCTGCCACAATTTTCTCCGACATAAATTGAATTGCAGCTGTTTGTTCCTTGTTTCCTGTCAAAGCACTAGATAGAATACATCTGTCAATAAAAAGACGGGTGTTTATAATTTATAAAAAATCCAACCCTGTGACTTAATTTTGGGAGCCCATAAATCCCTTCAAAAATCGGTGCCCGTTAAATAAATTATTGTTTAATCATTTATTTAGTATACAAGCCTAGCGTTCTTCCTCACTAATCCTCCATTCTATTATCTTTTTCATTGTAGGTTAATCTATAGTGCCGCAATATGTGTTAGTAATTAATAAATTTTTACTGCTCGTTGTGGGAAGTGGCTTCTCTGATTAAATCAAACACCTCGTTTAAAAATACAGTCTTCTTTTTGAACAGTTTTTCAATGCTTAAAATAAAGCAATCATATGATATGAAGAAGAGAAATAGTCTGATACATTCCCATTATAGAGTAGGGTTGTCGGAACCGGATCTCCAGATCCGAAGAAAGGCAGGATATCCGGAAATTTTAGGTTCTGATACAGGATCCGGATATCCTTACTCGAGACACAAATGTTATTAAGGCTCCTATACAACTCATCCAATCCTTAACTCCTTCGGAACGAGACTATCGAGTACCGACGGTTGAGTTTTTGGCCGTGTAGATGAGTTAAGGATTGGATGAGTTAAGGGGACACTGTTATTAATCTCCGAGTAGTTTTCCTCTGTATCCCTATCTAATCTTACTGTATAAATAATGATTAAAACATATCATCTCTCAATGACGCAAGATTTTCTTCGGCTGTTGAATAGTCTAGAGCATATTGACCATCCAAAAATTCTGTAAAAAATTTTTTTGATACATTATTTTAGTGATATATTACTGTTTCTGATTTTTGAGTATTCATCAAGGTAGTCTTTCTCTTCTAATTGGAGATAATTTTCAATGTACAAAAACAGATTCAAAGCTTCGGAGTGTAATTTCTCAATTTCTTCACTTGTTGATTTGCAAGACAGACGAGTTAATCGACTGATTTTCTATTTATTAATTTTTTAATTAAAAGATAAAAAAAGGTTTTTTAAAGTTGTTACTGGTTAGGATTTATAAGCAAGTTTGACTTTACTCCAGAACTGAAAGTATTATTTAATAGTAATTCTGAAAAAATGGTTTAAATTAAAAGTGAAAACCAATGAAGGTTTAAAATTTTATTAAAAGCGATCAGAGAGGTGGAACCAATATTACACTAGTTATTAAACCACTCTGGAAAGTGCGCAAGGTAGATATATACAATCCCCAATATATCAACTAACCATCAATATTTGCTCCGGTCCATTTTCTCCTACACAAGCATTTACGAAAGCCTGTTTAATCGGTACACTTCTGCTAAAGGCTGGGTTCGTTGCATAGTCAACTGACAGACTGAGAGAGGCGATGCGCATTGTTACTTGCTAAATTATTATAAACATTTAATTAAAATTTCTTTCTAAATCTTAATTAATTTAAAATAGGATTGGACCCCGATCCTTCGTGTAAAAGTTTTTGGCGTCTCAGGCGAAAATTTTTGGATTCTCAGATTTTTAAAATAAAAAATTTTCCAATGAAATTTAGAAAACAAAACACTAATACTAAACTCATTTATTTTTGTAGTATACAAAACAGCGTTTGAAGCTTAAGATTTGAATCAATAAGCCAACATTGACTTGATTGAGGTCTAACAAGTTAACCACTAGGCACTCCTTTAACAACAAATTGAGGAACTTTTGGACATTTTTTAATTCTATTCAACTACATACCAAAATCACCATTTAATGGCGAGGTTATATGAAAATTGTGAATTTAACCGTAATTTAAAATTCAAGGGTTTGATGTAAATATATAGGAATTTAATATATTTTCTTTGGTATTTAAAACAACCTACATTTAAATAAGTCGAAATATCGAACATATCCAATACGTTTCCTTGAATGTTTTGCAAATTAGCATCCAAATTGTTGAAGCTATTTTTCATTCCTCTGTTAAGATTCATCATTGCTTCATATTCTTTTGACTCTTTCTAAAATAAAAATTATACTGTATTCACTTTGATTATCTATTGCTTTAATTCTCGATATCCTCCGATTTGACGAACCCTTCGAAATAACAAGCTCTTCGGTCTCTTCAAGTTCTTTATACCGAGAGTTTAGGGGCTGAAACGACCGATTTAAAACCACAAATTTGATATTTGTCTAAAAACCCCAGAATATTTGAGAATGAGTGACTTTTAAAAGATTAACTCCCCAAGATGGAATTGGTATTTAACTAAAACTCAAATTTTTTAAATTTGGATTAATCGAATAATCAAAAAATAGATTTATATTGTAATATAGGTATTATAGAGATGGAAATTGCTCTTCTATTAGAATAAACGAATTAGGTAAATATAATTAAAAAAATAATTACAGCAAAAGCTTTATTTAGAGATGCCGCTACCAAAGCACTGACTGGGCCAGACATTTTCATTAAATCCAGTGTGGTTTGTTTTGCAACGTCAAGGTGCTCTAGCCAGTCCGACATTGGACTGGCTAAGTTTGAAAAGGCCGTCAAAAATTCATTCACTTCTTCTATTACTAAAAATTTTCTTAAAATATTTAATTTTTGGTTACGTAACGAGGATATACCATCGAATTGGAAACGAAATTAGTTTTCTAGCCTTGGATTGGAGGATGGTTCAATTTGTGTTCTTCGTTGGGTACTTAACTCAAATGGCTCTATTTAGAGTAACCCGACCTCCAAAACCTCGATGATTCTTTGGCGAAAAGACCCGAGGCTATACCCCGATAAACCCAGATCCCCAACACTTCCAACTACGAAGGGTCGGGTTACTACCCTAGTTCTATTCCATTTCCAAGATATATTAATTTTAATAAATTAGAAAAATAGAATACGGTAAATTGAGCAAGTTTTGAAGAGAATTTTTTAAGGACACAAAAATCATCCTTATAAACAAGAGGGAAATAATAAAGAATTTTCACTAAAATCCAAAATTTATCCAATATCTATATTTTATCCTCTATATCCTTTTTTAATTAAAAAACATATACTATACCATCATTCTCAGGTTGATGTACTTCAGATTTAATAGAAGCACAAAATAACAGAAAAATATAAAGTTTAAAATCCATTTTCTATTAAAATATTTAAAGTAAAGCGAAAAATAGAATGTCATAAATTTTGTGTATATAAACAATATTTGGGAATATTGAATGAAAATAACTGCCCATAAATATTTAATAAAGGCCAAAAAATGAAAAGAGGACTAAAGAATCCAAAAAAACATTTGCTGATAAATAACTATATTATTTAAAAAATGACTGAAATTTTATAGAAATTAAACAAAAATTATCATCCATCAATGTCGGAGACCCGACAATGAAAGCACTTGCTTTATTGGGAAATAATATTTCCTTTCCCTGATTGTTATCGAGGCGTATGGGAATTGTTTTTCTCCCGTATATTTGATACACTATACCCGGTCCCTCACCTCCAGTAAAGGTGATTTTGTTGTGAAATGCTCCCGCTAGACTACAATAAATATTGTCAATCTCTCTTCGAGCGATTGACTTTCCCACACAAACATTTATGGAAAGTTTTATGGTCTTGTCACATCTCTCAGAGTTTGTGACTATTAACCTTTCTAGTAATGGATTAACTTCCGCTATGTCGAAATTCTCATAGTTAACGACTTTAATTCAACTGGTGATCAAATGGCTCTTTTAATCAACTGGCTATGTCGCTCTCTCTGAGAAGCGACCTTTGCTTAATGGTGGGAATGTACACAGCCGCGACTACTCTGCATGCGCTGGCCTGGTCTATTTAAAGAAAAGAAGACTCTCCACAAAGATGCTCAGTTTAGCTGCTCAGTTTTTAACTGCTCAGTTCTGGGATGTAGAGGGAATAAAAGAAAATATCTATTTTCCCCTTTCTCCCCTTCCCTTTTTCCTGTCCCCTTCCTTTGTAAATAAATTTATATTTTTATTTTATGCTTTTAATTATTTGTATTTAATTTAATTTAAATAAACTATTTATTATTTATTCTTTAATTAATATTAGTAATTAATTATTAAGTACTTCAATTATTATAACGAGTCTTCCCGCCCAATTATTTAATTTTAGGTAGCCTCAACGACTAAATTCCCGAGTTCAGGGGTTCTCCCCGGCTCATAGGCACAAGCAAGCCCGGCAAAACCAAATGGCCAATTTCCTGGATCCAACGTCTACTCATCTTTGGCGGCATCTTGCCAAACTTACGTCGCAGGCCCTCGGGTCTGCGACACATGGCGACCCAGACAGGATTACTAATTCAACATTAATAAAACAATAAAACTACACTAATTATTAACTACATTTGACGGATCCAGGACAATCTACTTCATCTTTACTCTACTGGGTGGATGTTCAACAATTCAATAACTTCCACCGAAATCTATGGACTCGTTATGCACTGAGGCAAATTTTACTTTAATAAAAATTCAAAAATAATTTTGAAATTTTCTTTAAGAAATTTAAATTTAAAAAATAAAAATCTTTAATGTTAAGATCACTTAGTGACTTAACTTATTTCATTTAACGTGAATCACTCTTCGAGTGTTCACTTCAGGTGTCTCTCTGAAATTTGCAGCTACAACTCTGGTTTTTACTATTCCAACTCAGTTA